GTTTTTAGTGAGGGAGAATGAAAGCCCTCCTTTATCATGCTGGCCATCTTTTTCTTCATTTTTAAAAATGTTTTATTATAATTTCTTGGATTATTATGAGCCACTCTGCATCTGTTCAAGAAGAAGCAAATGAGAGAGAGGCTCAGTTGATGAATGAGCCCATATCCCTCCTATTACTTTGCATGTGCTCTATTTGTGTGACCTCTATCTCTTGACCTCAGTTCCTGACATCAATAGGGGATCCCCCGTTTCCTTTCCAATAGCTAGTTATTGATTGAATAATTAAATAAATAAATAGATAAATTAATAAATAGGATGGCATGGCTGGATGAGCCTGGGCTCCAATTCAGAGTGACGTCCTTGTTCCCTTTTTGGTGTATCCTTGACTATTTACCAGAAGAAACCGGTCACAGAAAGAATGATGATGAAAGAGCAGCTGGTGATCTACAAATAACTGGAATGAACCTGGTCCAAGTGAAAGTCCATTAACACATAAAGTCACACAGCTGGTTGATTTCTCTCCAACCCAGCTACGCAACCCTGGAGAGGGAGATAGANAGAGAGAGAGAGAGAGAGAGAGAGAGAGAGAGAGAGAGAGAGAGGATTGCCCATCGCAACGTTCTGCCATTGCTCCAGGAAAAGGTTGTCTCATTAGCTTAAAAAAATATGTGCACGCCACACGTGAGCACTCAAAGAATGTGTTTGTCTCAGGAAGTACTGTTATGGGAAGTTTACAGGGTACTCACAAAAATAAAATACCAAATTACTGTGCGTTCCATATCTGCAGAAGTACAAATAAAATTAACACGAGCTTAAATGTTTGAGAATGGTTACAAGACAAATACCTTTATAAACCATGTAAAACTAGACCTTCAACAGAGACGTTCCATATTTCATGAGATACGACTACAGGAAAGAAACCATGCAGAATTAATAGAAACACTGACTCCTCTTCTTAAACAAGGTCTTTGCATTTACAAGACGATTTGCTCAATTACGTGTATTCTTTCATCATGGCATCTGCAATGTTTCTCGTTGGCTGAAATGTGTAAAAATAGCAGGCTTCCTCGCATGCTCTGAGTAATAAATAAATGACAGAATAACAGAGATGGAAGGGACATCAGAGGTCTTGTAGTCCAACCCTGTGCTCAGGCAGGAAATCCTGTACCATTCCAGACAAATCTTTTCTTTATATCCTCCAGTGATGGAGCACCCACAACTTCTGGAGGCAGGTTGTTCCACTGATTAATTGTTCTAACTGTCAGGAAATCTCTCCTTAGTTCTAGGTTGGTTCCCTCCTTGATTGGTTTCCATCTATGAAAATGAATGTGTACATGAAGGTCTAGATGTGAAAATAAATCGGTAGTATGGTAATTTCAGGGAGAAGACAAACAGGGGCTAAAAAGAAATGATAGCATTGCGCACGTCTTTGCAATTCCCCTCACGTGAGACTGTATCAGCAAATCTATCACTGCTTAATTCCATAGCTACTGATTCAGTATCATCTTGTCCTCTCCATCGTCCCCTTAAAAAAGGACGCTTTTCCATCAGAGGTTGCCGATAACGGAAAATATTGCACAGCTTCAGACTCAAATAATCAACTGTGAGTTACTTGTTTTCCCGCATCTCTTGGGGAAGATTGCACTAGCAAGAGGCCAAGACAGCCAGCAGAGAAAGGAAAAAGCATATCAGCAAGGCACTTTCCCCCACCCCATTGCCTGCTTAATCCTCCCCTACTGCTTTTCTTCATGACTCTTGCCTCATCGGTGCTGCTGAAAAAAGGAACCACACCACTGCCAAATGAATGCTATCGAAGGAATATTTCAGACAACGATCTTTAGCAGGGGTCCTCAAACTTGGCCACTTTCAGACTCGTGGACTTCAACTCCCAGAATTCCCCAGGACCCCTGATGTTGAGGGACTGAATTTTATTAGTGCAAGAGTAGAAAGTGCTAATGACAACAGAGTGCCCGACCAATGAAGAATACAGGTAGTCCTCCAGTTACGGCCACAATTGAGGACTGCCTATAGTCTTTTCCATGATGGTCTGTCCCTAATCTGGTCTTTCAGGTCTTCCAACACTGGAAGACTTGCGTGCTACCGTATATGCAAACAAACAATACATTCTGCATTCTGCATTTCTAAACCCTGGAGTAACATTCAGTAACATGGGAAATTCACTTAAATTTCAATTGATTCACTTTTTCCTCTTTCAAACAGTTGTGTTTTCTTTTCCAAGCCTAAAAACCCACTCTTGCTTAATTCCAGTGACTAAGACTACATTGATAGCCCAATCGTCTAAGGAGCTAAATTGTGCCTGGGTTAGAAATCAAAATGCAGGGTGTGGTTTGAGGGGAGATTATAACATATAAGTTAAGGTGACTTTCAAGGTTGGAAGTCTCCTTCGGTCTCTTGTTTTCTCTCTTATCTATTTGAACAGTGGATGTAATTTAGAATGACTCTTTTTCATCAGGTAAATATTTTAGTGCGGCATCCAGGTTTCTAGTCAACCATTAACTCCAAGTTTCTCTAGTTTCTCATCCAAACAATAAGCTTCTGGCTTGAACCCCCTTCAGACAATAATTCATAATCCTTTTTTGTGGTTAGAAAGTGATCTTTACATAGACAACTAGCAGACCAGGACAGGAATAGTCTGACATTTTTTATTTTCTAATTATGGATCTGTTTTATAATCAGCATTCCTACTATTACTGAAGTTCAAAGGATGAGTTTAGTTGTTCATATAGCCCAGTGGTGGCGAACCTATGGCATGGGTGTCAGAGGCGGCACTTGCCCCAGCCTTGCCTCCCCTCATGACACCCTCACCAGCAGCCGTCCTGGAGAAGGGTCACCCCCGAGCATGGCCCACGCGGAGCAGTGCAGTCAAGGACATGGCAGCCAGGCAGCGTAGACAAGACTCTGCCCTCATGCCCCATCGTGCACAGTTGATGCTGCAGGGCACGGGCAGAGGGCGTGGCTGCCATGATGCTGCTGGGCGATCTGCGGCGGGCCCTGGAGGCAATGAGTGGCCCTGCGGGCAGGCGGGGTACGGGCGGGGCAGGGGGTGGAGCTGGGGTGGGGCCAGTTTTTGGGCACTCGGTCTCTAAAAGGTTCGCCATCACTGATATAGCCCAAACAGCACTACTCATGTTCCCCAAATGTTATGGTCAGCTCTAGTTGGCACTTAGACAGGAGATCCCACGCAACAAGGGGAAGTTGAAAAAATACCTTGGCAGAAGGCATTAGATATCTCCTAAAGATATGAATTTTCTGGGCCTTTGGCTATGGAAAAAGGCCTAGGATATGTTCCCATACAAATTGAGCCATACTGGAAAATATTTCTCAAGAGTCCTGCCCAGGCTATTGGAGAGAGGTAACTATTGAAGTGTGTAAATATCCTTTCCCCGCTGATTCATTCTGCCTCTTCTCTGTTGACATTGAGACCACAGACAAAAACTGTGGTTTTCCAGCCAGTTTTCGGAACCTTGAGTTTGAGGTAACATTTCATAATGGTCTGACTCAATCTAGGTTGTTCCTAGATAATGTATCTCTTCTCCTACTATTTTTCCTTAGTTGCTAAAGAAGTACATAAAATTGGGAGAACATCAAGGTCTATCCCAGTGATGGCAAACCTTTTAGAGACCGAGTGCCCAAACTGCAACCCAAAACCCACTTATGCATCGTCGGGTGCCGGGTGGGTGTGGCCCATTGGGTGGGTGTGGCTGCAGTGGTAATGGCAGATTGGGTGGGACTAAAAAGTTCAATCAATCAATTCCAACTTTGCAAGATCTTTTTTTTCCCACGAGAAGTTGAAATTGACTGATTGATTGAACCTTTTTTTTTTTTGTACATGGCGGCGGAGGCCTAAAGCGAAAAGGTTTTATAAAACCCAGCTGAAGGCCTAGGACTGGGGCGACGGTGCGTGTGCCCACAGAGAGGGCTCTGAGTGCCACCTCTGGCACCCGTGCCATAGGTTCGCCACCACTGGTCTATCCCAATCCTAATTCTTACAAAGGACCCATAATACTAGATAGAAGTCTTATCTAACGTATGATATGATATATTTTTTTTCTCAATCTCCATGTAAGAACAAAAAAAGTCCTTATTATGATATGTATGTTGGTTTTAAATCTGTTCATTATCTGGATTTTGTTTTTTAAGATATGCATTTTTTAGGATATGCATATCACTTCTCAGTCATTGAGCTAATGCAGGGGTCTTCATACTTGGCCCTTTTATGACTTGTGGACTTCAACACCCAGAATTCCTCAGCCAGACATACTGGCTGAGGAATTCTGGGAGTTGGAGTCCACAAGTCATAAAAGGGCCAAGTTTGAGGACCCCTGGGCTAATGGGTACTATATTCATACTTCCGATAAATAAACAGATGTATAAATAAAGGAAACTAAACTTATTTATGCTGTAGACATTATGAACCATGAGTAGAAACTGATGTTCAAAGCACCAGGAGCCATAACCATACCAATCCCTCGATTGTTTGAATGGGTTTCCACCTTGTGCTGAGTCATGGCTTGTTTCAACATTGTTGGCGGGGTTCACCCATAATGCTGAGGTATAAAAGCATGATTAACAATCCACACTGCCCAGAGCTACCTAGACGCTGAAAGTCATTCAAAACCCCTAAGAGGCTAAAGGATGAGGTGTCAGGAATGCTATTTGCATCATTCTTGTTAGTGTTGCAATAGCGGGTCTCCGTTTTTTTTTTTTTTGTGCTGCGGGAGTAGCTGGTGCTCTTTTGCCTCTGTCTGGTGGACCTTTAATCTTTGGGTGTCTAGAAACGTTGCCCCCCTCTCAGATCTTGGTGACGCTCAACCTCCAGCTTAAAGCAAACAAAAGAAACAGGCGGCTGAGTTACCTTGTCGGTTTCAAAGACCAGGTGGCTGAACGGGTTACAGGAAGGGAACAGGTTCCAGGCTCTCTGTTGCGGCACAGAAGCCTCTTTCTTGCTCGGAGAATTTTGAAGGCTACCACCATCAGTGATGAAGAAGAAAGTGTTTGAGACCTTGAGACTGGTAAGGAGGATGCTCTTCTCCCCAAAGCTTTTCTCTTAGGCTTTAAGAAATTATTCCAAGGAAACGGCCTTATATTGTTTATCATTTCTGAGTGTTGTGTAACCAAGGGATGATGGTGGTGGAGTTTCAGTGAATATAGAGTGCATTTTCTCCTTTTGAAGTCTTGCTTCTCTTGCTTCCAGATCTGGATTTCTTTACTAATTTGAGGCCCAATTTCCCTGGAGTTCAATTGCAAGTGGGAGTGAAGCAAATGTTTAGGTTATCAGAATGGGGACAACTGTTAACTATACCCAAAGAAACTGAATAACTACAAAGCACAGGATGTCCCTAAGCATGGTGATATGTAAAGAGAATTTCAGTGCTCTGGTGTACAAATTGTACAGATATGAGGCTGGGCAGTGAGTCACTGGGTTTACCTATCATCCTGAGTTATTTTAATTATGGTTTATTGAAAAAGAGGTAATGATCAGGTTAAAAAGTAATACTAAGCCAGCTAATAATATTAGCCAAGTTGGGTTTATTAGAGTGGGATTATGCGTTCTAGTAAGCCTAAACCAAACTAACCACAGTACAGCAATGTGGGAATTAAGTCATTTTGTTAATCAGCCATCCAATTCACAACTGATGGCAAAAGGAAACATCTCTTTCACACACTACTGCTTCATAAATGCATGGAATCTTCTACTCCAAGATGGGTTTTATTGGTTTTGCTTTAGCATGTTACGTGTACCCCTGTGCCTTATGGCTGTGATCTGTGCGAACTCACTCTGAACTGGGATTAACCAAGTAATGACTGGATGGAAAGGTTCTCAAACTTTCTTGGTTCATAGGACACTTAGCGTCTCTCTAAATTTTTTCCTGGAGCTGTTATCCCAAAACTGTAAACTATCTTGAGCTGGTAGTTCACGATCTTATGAAAAACTTTGAGTTTGCTACAATGCCCTGTGGGTATCTTGGCACACAGTTTGGGAACCACGGACATAGTGCAAAATGCAAACCCACCAAAAATATCTGTTTAGAATGCTATTCTTTTTAGAAGCTATGAATGAAAAAGCCATCTGTTTCTCAGGAGCTGGAACAAGCAGTAATGAGTGAACTCTGGCTGGTTCTAAGATTTCTAGTGATGTCGAACTGATCATGGCTGGAAACAGGATTCTAAGGCAGTGGTGGTGAACCTATGGCACGCATGCCAGAGGTGGCACTCGGAGCCCTCTCTGTGGGCACGTGTGCCTCAATCTTTGGCTAAGTTTTCGCAGCAAAAAGCCATTTCTCAAGCTCCTTCCTAGCCAAAACAAGCTCCGGAGCAAGCGCGCTGTTTTCAGCTTTGAATTATATCAAATCTCACATCAGGAACAGACTAACAGATGACCTGAGTGCTGCATATGTTGCTCTCAAATTTACAAAGTAAAGTATAAGCCAAGGTTAGACAAATTATCACCATGCATACAACAGCAAAAATCACATTAATTGTTCAAAAGCATGCCAAATGCAAACTTTTACCTTTCAGTAAAAAGTTGTTTGTATCATTGAAAGCTTTGTTATTGTGTTTTTCTTTTAAGACAAAAGATGTTAATGTATGAGTTGTTTTTTTCTAAACTAAAACCTCAGTATTCAGATTAAATTGCCATGTTGGCACTTTGTGATACATAAGTGGGTTTTGGGTTGCAGTTTGGCCACTCGGTCTCTAAAAGGTTTGCCATCACTGTTCTAAGGGGTGTGAAATGCTGGCCTGATCCAACAAGTCTTGTCCTGTGTGCCTATAATGGTATGAAAGACTTGGACAAACATCCTTTGAAGCAAAGTCTCTCCAGTTCTATAGAAGAAATATCTATTCCTATGAACCAGCAAACTATTATAAACTATTATATTTAACCAATATAAACTATTTGTTGAATCAGTGTAATATTAATGTACTATTACTTGAATCAACATCCCTAGTAGGCATGGATTTAGAAACATGTGCTATCATTGCTACATCACAGAGGTCAAGAAAAGTCACAGTTTAATGATGCAATAGTATTTCAACCTGACTCCACTCTTCTTTGGTTGACCAAAAGTAGAATCCTGAAAGACTAGTGTAAATATTTACAGTTTGTACTATTTTAGGCTAGACTTTGAAGGCTTTCAAGAGCAAACTGATCAATAAAATCCCCCCTTGCCTTAACTAGTAACTAAAAATAGAAATGTGGGAGGAAAGTGCAGGCTCTTTTGACTGTGTGATCATTATTTAATTAGCCATCATTCCATAAATAAACTTACATGATCCAATTTAAGTGGGCTAGAAAGTGGGACAATGATAAAAAAAAATCTGTGCATCTGAATTAGAATTCTAGAATTCAGGGTTTATGAGGTCCTTATTTTCTTAAATTGTTTTTCACTTATGTTGACCAACAGTCTTCGTACATTTTCCAGGTTTTGGAAGCAGCTGTAAATTGGAATCAGCGGACAAAAAGGAGAGAGATTTTTTTTTTAATACTCAAAAAATTTGAAATGCAAAAAAACACCCCTCGATTTTCTCTCTTGTTAGATTATTTGTTGGTTTAGATATTTTGTTGCCTGTCATTTATTAATTGCATTGATACCGGGTCCTTCAGATAATCTAAAGCAGATAGCATTTAGCCTTTTTAAAAATTTCACAACAAGGGAAGCCATCCAGAATTGTAGAAGTAGACATGGATTGCCTAATAAACTCTGTAGCCATGAGAGAATTGGAAGTTAATTTCCCTTAAAAGCAGACAGTTGGGAAAGTGATGCAAAAAAGAGAAGAAGAAGAAGAAGAAGAAGAAGAAGAAGAAGAAGAAGAAGAAGAAGAAGAAGAAGAAGAAGAAGAAGAAGAAGAAGAAGAAGAAGAAGAAGAAGAAGAAGAAGAAGAAGAAGAAGAAGAAGAAGANGAGGAGGAGGAGGAGGAGGAGGAGGAGGAGGAAGAAGAAGAGGAAGAAGAGGAAGAAGAGGAGGAGGTTATTCACTTTCAAAGTACGGTGTGCATCTTCGTGAACCTTTCTTGTCTTTCTTCCCTCATAGGTGGAGCAAATCCTATCTGAATTCCAGCTACGGGAAGAGGATTTGAAGGAGGTGATGCGTCGGATGCAGAAGGAAATGGACCGAGGCTTAAAACTAGAGACGCACAAGGAGGCCTCAGTGAAGATGCTGCCCACATATGTACGGTCCACACCAGAAGGATCAGGTACTTGTTACCTTATTAGAAATGGATGATGGGAGGTGCAGACTTAAGCTCTTATTATTATTTTTTTAATCTCCATCGCACTGTCCAAAGACTAACCTGGAACAGTAGACAGTCCTGGGATAGAAATAGAAGCATGCTAATATTAGCCATCACTTTATTGAAATGCCCATATCAAGACTGAGTTGCACTTTCACTTATGTTCTGCTTTGCTCGCAGCTTGACAAAGAAAAGGGAGGGGGGGAAATGGAACGCGAGGGTGGGGGCAGCTGCAGCTGAGCATCACCTGTTCCCATGAGAGAGTGCCCAACCCAAGGACACATAGAGCAGGTGGACTAGGTGGCTTGCTAGTTTCCCAAAACAAAATGAACAGAAGTGATTGGTGGACATAATGGATTGTGGGTGGCTGACAGGGGGAGAATTAACTAGGTTAGCTTTTGTGCAGGAAACCCAGAGTTGGTTTCACTTCATCTGTGCCAGTATGGGTAAAATGATGTCCCAGGAATTTCTTTTTCTGGATCCGCCAACTGGACAGTTGACAGCAGTGGTGGGATTCAAATATGTGAACAACTGGTTCTCTAAGTGGATGCCGCTTCCGGAAGTCCATTCTGGGCCTGGGCAACAAAACATTAGCTACCGGTTCTGCCGAAGTGGTGCGAACTGGCTGAATCCCACCACTGGTTGACAGCCCTCTAAAGGAGCCATGGGGTTCTTCTGGAGGCCGTTGATTCGGGTTGCTTTCCAAAGACGTAAATTGACACGTTGTCACCCTCTGGGATTACAGAAGTTGGAGATTTTCTATCTTTGGATCTCGGCGGGACCAATTTCCGAGTGATGCTGGTCAAAGTGGGAGATGTTGAGGAAGGGCAATGGAAGGTGAAGACAAAACATCAGATGTACTCCATTCCAGAGGATGCCATGACAGGAACCGCTGAAATGGTGAGTTGATCATCAAGCCAAAGGAACTAAATGAGATGTGGGTTGGATTTGCACAACACGAGCTATTAAATGTATACACCGCCCTTCTCCCAATAAGGTACCTCTGCATAGCACCTCAAAAGAGACATAGTCTACGGAACGTTATAGGTTGGTCAGATGCCAAAAAAGCTTCAAGTCCCTACAACTACTAGAAAGTCAATGGATGAATTAATACTGGGAAGATCCAAATTCATGGTTGCCTTTGGTCATGGAAACTCACTGGGTTTCCTTGAGTTAGTTCCTCTTGATCGGTTTAATCTACCTCATGGTTTGCTTGCAGTACAAATTAAAATAAAGAGGTGCTCATTGAAACCATCTTTAAGTCAACAGCTAAGCTAACGTTGTGTAAAAGAGGGTGTTTCAGCAGCTATTACATGCCGTGATAACAGCACAGCTATACAAGCCCTGCTCAATTGTTGGAAGGATGTGGGTGTCTTGCTCTCACCTAGGATATTGTGTCTTGCTTGTTGTCGAATGACTTAGATCTGGGGTCTTCAAACTTGGCCCTTTTATGACTTGTGGACTTCAACTCCCAGAATTCCTCAGCCAGGCGCGCTGGCTGAGGAATTCTGGGAGTTGAAGTCCACAAGTCATAAAAGGGCCAAGTTTGAAGACCCCTGATTTAGGTTCTTGAATAAGCGTTTTGCAAGAAATAAAAGGCAATAGAATTTCAAAAAGGCAATAGAATTTCTGTGTCTCGCCCTCAGCTCTTTGATTATATTTCGGAATGCATCTCCGATTTCCTGGACAAACATCAAATGAAGCACAAAAAGCTGCCTCTGGGCTTTACATTTTCCTTCCCTGTTCGACATGAAGACATTGACAAGGTGAGATCTGAAACCAGGGATTTGCAACGCTCTCTGCTTTTGACTGCATGACTTTCTCCCTGGAGCCCGTGAATCATTCATAACCACATATCCCAAAACTATTGTAGAGTGTGGTGTTCCTTCTGCCACAAATGATGGCGGAAGAACTCAACAGAGAGCAGGGGGTCTTCAAACTTGGCAACTTTAAGACTTGTGGACTTCAACTCCCAGAATTCCTCAGCCAGCCATTTTCTTCCACACTTCCCTCTGTACCAGGGGTCTTCAAACTTGGCAACTGTAAGACTTGTGGACTTCAACTCCCAGAATTCCTCAGCCAGCCATGGCTGAGGAATTCTGGGAGTTGAAGTCCACAAGTCTTACAGTTGCCAAGTTTGAAGACCCCTGGTACAGAGGGAAGCGTGGGAGAAAATATGCCAAATCTAAAAACAACCGAACAAGTCACACCAACGGCCTTGTGCTGTGGACGCTCAGAAGATGATCAATTTCCACAGAAAATTACAGATAGTCCTCAACGTACAACCACAAATTGAGCCCAAAATTTATATTGCTAAATGAGATATCTATTAAGTGAGTTTTGCCCCCTTTTATGACTTTTCTTGCCACATTGCTTAAGTGAATCACTGCAGGTTGTTAAGTGAATCTGGCTTCCCCATTTGACTTTGCTTGTCAGAAATTCGCCACCTTGGGGACATGGCCACCGTCATAAATAGGAACCAGTTATCAAGGATCCAAATGTAAATCGCATAGCCCTGGGGATGCTGCAACAGCCATAAGTGTGAAAAACGGTCATAAGTCACTTTTGTCAGTGCTGTTGCAACTTTGAACGGTCACTTAACAAGCTGTTGTAAGTCAAGGATTACCTGTACTTCTGTTTTAAAACAAAGTGGAGCACTTTCCTTGAAATTCAGCATAAAACCTAGATAAATACCCAGGTAGTCCTTGACTTCCCATCATTCGTTTAGGGACTGATGGAAGTTACAATGACACTGAAAAAGGGACTTCCACTAAGGTGCAAATCTGCTAAGGCAGGGGTCCCCAACCCGAGGTGGCATGCCAGCAACCGGTCCGCACAAACAAACAAAGCCCCATCTGTGGGATGCAGGCAGCACACAAAAGCACACACTCTCCGGTCTGTGGAAAAACTTTTCTCCACGGAACCAGTCCCTGGTGCCCAAAAGGTGCTAAGGGACACGTGTCACTCCACTGTTGTCAGTGGATCCATTGTAGGTGAGGTTCTAGACAGATACTTCAGCAACAAATAGACCGTGTTAGCCATGAATCATCGTAGGATTTCTGTAGGGTTGCAGACATCTTGCAAAATTATAACAGCCTCACCCTACATTCTGGTTGTATCTCCTATAGGAATGTTGGAAAGGCGTCAGTAGATTGGTTATTAGAGTAGCTGTTAGGGAGAAGGTCATCAGTCATTATATTTCATAACTTAAGTTTTTTCTTTTGTCTTTTTCTATTCTTGCTCTTTTTTCTTTTCTATCTTTTTCTATCGGTTTATCTGAGGCAAAATCCTCAGTAAATATAAATCTTAAAAATCTCTTACGACAAGGTGAAGCGTTTGTGAGAATGTCATCGTTCTCATGTGAGATCTAGTCCAAGATGATCAAAATCAGACGATCTGCAATGATTCGCCATTGCTGGTACATCTCCTGATTACAAAGTGGCTTTTTTCTTTGCTTGAAACAAACTTTTCCATGGTATATTGCTTATTTTGGACACAGAGGTGTGCCTGATTTTGCAAAATTTGGTCTGATTCTTTCCATATCCTGATCTGTAGGGCATTTTGCTGAATTGGACGAAAGGCTTCAAAGCATCTGGAGCTGAAGGGAACAACATTGTGGGGCTTTTGAGAGATGCTATCAAGCGAAGAGGGGTGAGAGAAACATCATTTGATAATGTCTGGTGTATTATCACACCTTATCCCTGCTAATTCAAACTCTGAGCTATTCTTAGGGTCAGGAAAAGCAGCCTTCTAACGAAGTGGACAGCTTATTGATTGAGCATAGCACTGTCCACTCACTCTGTGAAGAACTGGGAGGCTAAGATAAGATGTTTCGATAAGGAACTGCGGAAAAATGTGGGAGAAGGGAGCCATAGGAATGACTGAATCTGTCCCCTATTCCCTAAGCTTAGACTACCTTTTTTCATGTAAGATGAAGAACTAAATGGACACAACTTTGTGTTTTTCCCAAAGGTGCTTCTTCAAGAGGCAACTGGATTTTCTGGTTTTTCTTTGAAGATGTTTCGCTTCTCATTCAAGAAGCTTTCTCAGCTCTGACTGGATGGTGGGAAATGGAAGGAGTTATTATACTCCTCACATCCAGTCAGAGCTGAAGAAGCTTCTTGGATGAGAAGCGAAATGTCTTCAAAGAAAAATCAGAAAGTCCCGTTGCCTCTTGAAAAAGCACCTTTGGGACAACCATGACCTGGATGACTGAGAATCTCCATAGACAACTTTGTGCTTTTCTTTTAGCAGTAGAATATTTAGGGTTGTTCCTTCTCCAGATGGCAGGATAAAGATTTTTAAATTGGAAATGTCAGGGGTTAAACTTCCTGCATTAAATGTGAAGGAACAAACAAGATCTCAAAAACATGGCCATGTCTGCAGAGACCTCTGAAATGAATCAATTATCCATCATTCCAAATAAGGGACCCTGGGAGCAAGGAGAATAATTTAGATAGAAGTAATCTTTTCTTGGAGACTGGAAGGAGGTCCCACCTCTTGATTATGTTACCTTCTGATTAGTCTCAGTTCTCTATAGATACGGGACAATCAAAATGGACGACGTCTCCTAGAGTAAAAGGGAATCGATCTCCAAGGAATTTATAGACTATTCTTCAACACGGGGGGGGGGGAGAAAAGGGAGGGGAAACGGGAAGTTAGGAAATCTGTTTCCCTCTTCCATTATTCCAGATTTGCAAGAATGGTTATAGAATGGCCACTTTCAAACCCAATGACCACATAACAAAAGAAACATAGCATTTATTTTGAGGTGTGGTGAGACAAATCCTGCTTTGATTTTGTGCAGAATGTTAGGAAAAGCCTAGAGAAGTTTACCTCAATCTCTAGCCAACTTCAGAGACAACAACCTCCGACTTTGTCTCTGCCTTCCAACATCCTTGGAGTTATCTAATGACATCATTCCGAATAGATGGTCATTCCACATGTAGTTAAATTTCTTGAGATGTCCTTCTAGAAATGCAAAAGTGGTTTTTTTTTCAACCCACTGCAGGATTTTGAGATGGATGTAGTTGCAATGGTCAATGACACAGTAGCAACGATGATCTCCTGCTATTATGAGGATCACAGATGTGAGGTTGGCATGATTGTGGGTAAGTGGACCTGCCATGTTCATATACTTCGCTGGGCACAACCATTGTAATCTGAACAACTCCTTCTTGCTGATTTATACTGAACTCAGTTTTATAGGGAGGCTGCCTTAAACCTTCCTAGCTTGATATTATTCTGGTGACCTCCCCTGCTCTTAGTCAGCATGCCCATAAAATGTATTGATTGGAGATGATGGGAATTATAGTGTTTGGAAGACAGCAACACGAGGAAAGGTATTTCTCCCATCAGTTTACCTGATTCTTCTAATTCTAGGATAAGGAACCTGTCTGTCAAGACTGCTAACATTGGATGTTCTTGCTTGCCATATATGAAGAAGCAAACATGTTTTATTTAGCCTGCATATCACTTCTAGAGTTAAAGTCAGACAATGTTAGAATAGTGGGTGGGAAAGTATGATAGTTAACCACAACAATATTTCAGTACAGCATTGCCAAGGTCATCTGTAACCAGAGGAGTTACGGGAGGGAAAGCTCACACTTCAAACTAATTGGAGAACGTGATTGATGACTGTAAAATGAAGGAGTGAGTTATGCTTTGTTACGGGTGATTGGGGGTGGGAGGATTCAGGTTTTGGCTTCATTATGTACGTGCCGAAGCTATGTAGCAATAAAAGGATTCTTTAAGGTAAATAAAGCCTCATAGTTCTTTGAAAAGCTGCTTCTTCGGAACCATGACACTGTCCTTCTCTAGATGTTATGAAAGTTGAATTCCCAACACTTCCAACCAATGATGTGATTTGTTGGACCGATAGTTCTCCAACAAATTCTGACTGCAGATGTTTGCATGGATATTGTAGAAACCCATTTTGAGTTATGGTCTCTCCCCAGAGCCATAGCTTCCAAGAAGCTGGGTGATGGGATGGAATGTTGTCCAGATTCCAGAGGTGCAAGAGACATCACAGTTTAGATAGTTTGTGTAGGAGAAAGACGGTGAAGACAGCTCCTCTCTAATAGTTTCCAAAGCATATGTTTTATGGTGCAAATAGTCTGCTTTAGTTTGGCAAGATTTCTGTCTATGGGTGAGGAACAGTGAAGGAAATTGCTTGGAGGAATCTCAATGTGTCTTTCTTGGGTTTTGGAGCCTGGTAGCACAATTAGTACATCTTTGCAAATGGCTCCATCTCCATCTGCTGCTGGTTTGTTCTGTGCAGACAATGAACCTCAAGCATTGATATATGTATACGTTCCTTGATGTTCCTGTCAGATTTTTGAAAGAACACAATGGGAACAAAATGAACAGGCTTTTTCCTGTAACGAGTAGGTGCTAAAGAACTACAAAATGAGGCAAGAGTTATGCTCCATTTATCTGAAGCTGAGTAATGCTATTTGCAGTGCAGAGAGTAGGTTGCCTGGAAATTTGTGTTTTGGGTTGCTTTTATTTTATTTTTTTAGCTCAGGTGCTCAATATGGCCAAATTCTTATGTGACTATTATTATGATGTGGCTATTCTGGGAAGAGCTATTATCTATCAAGCGGACCTTGTCGAGCGGTTCTTTTTAACAGCACCAGAGCTCTTTCTGACATTCTAAATATATATTAGTTGCAGCCGCCGCGATATAATGACTTTGCTTCACTAGATTAAATGCTAGCTAAGGGACTTGCAGGTGTTTTACAACCCAGGAGTCTGCACGATCTCCTGCTGCAAAGCTTAAATTCTACAGGGAGTCCTTCACTTCAGTCTAGTCACTTAGTCACCATTCAATGTTCCAACGGACCTTCCCCTAGCCCACTTACAACCCAGATTTGAAGTTCTGACAGCTGCTTCCCCCCCCTCCCCCGGCAGTCATATGATTGCATTTTGGGTGCTTGTGGCAACCAGCCCACCTTTATGGCTGTTTGCAGGATCACATGAATACTATTGATGAGGTTTTTTGCAGGAAACCATCATTTATTTCCAATTTCCATTAAAAAAAAAAAGCCCTCTACCCATTGTGAAAAATGGGTTCGCCTAATGATTGCTGCATTCGCTTTACAAGCATTGCGTTTGTTTAATGACCATGCAAAAAAAGTTGTGAAATCCGGTGTGATCACATGGTGAGCCAACTAACAACCGGCGTGAGGTACAGCTGTCATTACGGTCCTAAACCGAGGACTATCTGTGTGTGTTGCATAATCTTCATAATGTAATTCTCTTACATTTAATGAAAAGAAGGACCAGGGGTGACATGATAACAGTGTCCCAGTATCTAAGAGGTTGCCACAAAGAAGAGGGAGTCAAGCTATTCTCCAAAGCACCAGAAGGCAGGACCAGAAGCAATGGATGGAAACTAATCAAGGAGAGAAGGAACCTAGAACTAAGGCAGAATTTCCTAACAGTTAAAACAATTAATCAGTGGAACAACTTGCCTCCAGAAATTGTACGTGCTCCAACACTGGAGGTTTTTAAGAAGGGATTGGACAATCATTTGTCTGAAATGCTATAGGGTTTCATGCCTGAGCAGGGGGTTGGACTAGGAGACTTCCAAGTTTCCTTCCAACTATGTTATTCTGTTATCCACATTAGCCTTTATATGTTCCTTTAGTAATGCACTGTTAGTTGAACCTGGAGTAAAATGTCAGCTTCCAAAAATCTTCAACATGGACCTGGATAACAAAGACACGTCAAGGGTCTTCCCGATGATGCTTGGGTTGTTGCTGACTGGGGAAATCTCTTTGCCTCTCCTTCTCTTAGGCACAGGCTGCAATGCTTGCTACATGGAGGAGATGGAGAATGTGGAGCTGGTAGAAGGAAATGAGGGACGGATGTGTGTGAACACCGAATGGGGGGCTTTCGGGGAATCGGGAGAGTTGGACGAATTCCTCTTGGAGTACGATCGTGTGGTGGACGAAACCTCACTTAACCCCGGTCAGCAGCTGTAAGGAATATGTCAGATAAAGTTAACCTAATTGTTTATTGCTGTCTCGAGCTTCATATTCTCCTCTGATGATCTGGGCAATAGGGACATGGCTCTGAATCTGGCAGGAAAGCTGTCTCTCACTGAAGCACCAAGGCAGAAGTCATGAATTTGGGATGGCCACAAAGGCAATTCTTTGTGATATCGTTCCTCTCCATGGTGCTAATTTTAAGAACATTCTTTCTTAACCGTACCAACTTTAAGATGGGTGGTCCCAGAATTCTGGAAGTTGAAGTCCAAGTTGAAGTTTGATCGTGGAGCTCCATCTGAAAATTGCCAAGGTTGAGAAATATTAGATTAGAGAGTTGTGCTTTTCTAAGCTTAAAATAAGGGTGGGTACTTTTTATCTGTTGAAAATTACTTTGCTTTAGAAATAATCTGTTAGGGTTCACATGCAGTGGTGAATAGTTAATCCAGAGATAAGAGGGGATTCTTTCTTTCTTTCTTTCTTTTTTCCTTTCTTTCTTTCTTTTTCTTTTCTTTCTTTTTTCTTTCTTTTTTCTTTTTCTCTTTTCTTTCTTTCTTTCTTTCTCTTTCTTTCTCTTTCTTTCTTTCTTTCTTTCTTTCTTTCTTTCTTTCTTTCTTTCTTTCTTTCTTTCTTTCTTTCTGCCAGTCCTCCTTTTCTCCTCCTCTTTTCTTTTAGCCAACATCCAATTTTCCTCTCTCCCAAGCAGCAGATTGAAGGAACAGAATGCTCTTACCAAAATCTGGACTGATTATTTGCACATTTTAATAAGTACAAGAATCACATGGCATTCTTTAGGCTATATGTAGCCCATATTTTCTGTAGAGAATCTTTGCCTAATCTGGCCACCTTAAGATGTGTTGGGTTAGGAGGCCTAGGATATTGGGACACAAAAAACCTATGGTGTGGGGAAAATGCCCTAGAATAGAGTTTTCTAACTTGGTATGTCCAAGTTTGTTGGTGTTGAAGTTCCAGATGTGTTCAGACTTCAACTCCCAGAATTCTCAATAAAGGCCATGTTGGTTGAGATTTTGAGAGTTGACATCCACACATCAAGATGTTCAGGTTGAGTAAAACTGCTTTAGAATAGTAGTAATAACACTCATGGTTTTTTTTCTTGGCCTCATAGTAGCAAGCAGGGCTTACAAAAACACTTCTAATCCTGAAAACATCATAGATCTGAAATTTAAACTCTGGCACAAATGACCTATGCACACATCGGTTACTGGAAAAAAAAAAGTCAAATTAAGCAAAGAGGGAAAGTGGTTGTTTTCCCTTCTGTTCAGAGAAAATAACCTCCGTTGTTAGGCAATCAATCTTGCTACATGAGTGGATTTTGTTCAAACAAACTGCAAGGATTTCATCTGACACAGTAACATACTTAACCTTCTCTATTATACATGTATAAATGATCTCCATACCTTGTGGGTGTTGATGCATCTGCTTCCCCCCCCCCTTTTTATCTACCTGCCCGGAACTTCTGCTGCATGTGACTAAACTGTACCTTCCTTTCTCCAGGTTTGAGAAGATCATAGGTGGGAAGTACATAGGGGAGATTGTACGACTAGTGCTGCTAAAACTGGTCAATGAAAACCTACTCTTCAGTGGAGAAGCTTCGGAAAAGCTGAAGACCAGGGGATCGTTTGAAAGTCGTTTTATCTCACAGATTGAAAGGTAGTCAATAACAAAGTTCACTTGGGGCACTTTGGAGTCATCAGGAGAGGCCTTTGGAGGCCCTGCGGAGAGTTCTTAGTGGAAATAAGTGGAAAGGTTGTTTTGATGACAGGAGCAGGTTTTTGACCACCCTGGGGAAAAAAAATTGCATTGCAGACTGGAGATTCCTCCCGCTTCTCTTATCATCTACAATATATCAGACATTTTGCTCCTTGGCTATTTAGTTTATTTTCTCCATTCTTGCAGGTCGTTTTATTCTTTGAGCTTTATGTTTCATATAAATAATAATTTGGCTTTCAGAGAAGAATGTGCTGATCTGCAAAAATATCAATGTGCACATAAAATCTGTCCTAGGGAGTGAATTTAAAGTACCGTAGGCTCTTTTAAAGTGGCTGAACTCTTATCTGCCCAGAAGTATAAAAATTCCAAACAGAGTCTCATCCTCATCAATTTTCTTCTGCAAATATTATAGACTCTTAAGTTAATCGGCTACGATGAATAACAAGTCAAAATTAGCTGGGGCTTTTTACTTCGGATTTGCCACGGAAGCTTGACAGGTTTTTCACTGAAGCGTTCATGAAATTTTCATTATGTGGAGGGTTATAAATGACCATTAGTTCCATGGCTTGAGAAGGAAGAGGTCTTTTTTTTTTACTTATTCATGCAACAATAGACTTTCTGTTTTCCAAAGGAATACTGGGTTTCCTTCAGTTTAAAAAAAATTAAAAAATTAAAAAAAATTAAAAAAAATTAAAAAAATTTAAAAAAAAATTAAAAAAGGAATGCCACACACAGGTTTCTCCTGGAAATCATTAGGCAGTAGCTTAGATTAGAAAGCTCAAAAATGCTTGGTCAAAAAGCAATGACAAGCCATCAGCATAGGGCAGGGGTAGGCAACCTTGGCTCTTTTATGACTTGTGGACTTCAACTCCCAGAATTCCTGAGCCAGCATGGCTCAGCTTGGAAACCTCTCCCTTTCCCCTCAGCATGGCTGGCTCAGGAATTCTGGGAGTTGAAGTCCACGAGTCATAAAAGAGCCAAGGTTGACTACCCCTGGCATAGGGCTACTGAGAAATTACACGGATGTGTCACTTGACTCAGAGGAAATTTTACTTTTAGAGGGATGCAAAACAGTCTGAGATCAGAATATTTCATCCTCAGATTGTCCTCTTCCACAATTACACAATAGCTGTTCCAGACATGCTGGAAATGGACCAACCCTTGCCTAGATTGTTCCAACCTTGAACCTTTTACACCAGTGTGTTTACAATCACCACCTAATCATTCTGCTTTCCTCGATTTTCATTACAGTCTTACCAATCTCATTCCTATTCTCCTACCCACTACAACTGGGATTATCTCTTCCCTGGCCATGATTGTATCTATCTGATAGACATGATTATTTTTAAAAATGTATTTATTTGTCAAACAAAAACGACAAATGTGAACGAACAAAATGAAAAAAACTTAAATTGTGACAGGGACGATAGGGATGTTAGTACACTTATGCACGCCCTGTTAGGAACCTCTTAAATATAGGATGAGGTCCACAGAAGTTAAGTTGAAATTAAAACTGTGCAGGTTAGTAGCTAAGACAACGGAATTGGGTAAAATATTCCAGACTTCGGCAACTGTGTTACAAAAACTGAACTTTTTTACAATCAAGTTTGATTTCGGAAAGTTGTATTAGAATAAAGTGTAACTTCTCATGCTGCTGCCCCAAGATTTTATCTTTCCATTTTGTTTCCAGTGATGCTGGTGACCGCAAGCAGATTTACAATATTCTAACCTCTTTTGAGCTGTTGCCTTCTGCAATGGACTGTGACATTGTTCGGATGGCCTGTGAGAGTGTTTCCACAAGGGCTGCCCAGATGTGCTCAGCTGGGCTGGCTGGGGTTATCAATCGCATGAGGGACAGCAGAAACGAGGAGACGCTGAAGATTACAGTGGGGGTTGATGGATCAGTCTACAAGCACCATCCTAGGTGAGCCCTTGACGCAACCTTGATTTCCTTTTTCAAGCATATAATTTTTTATTGGAGAAACTTCCAACAAAACAATGGAAATGGAACGGAAGGAAATATTGTAAAGAAGTAGCTTCAGATCTTTTTGACAGCATTTATATTTTATTATCTCTGTCTAAGGTGACATCATCATTTCCTTCCTGCTAAACTTTTCTAAACTTCAGACTCATAAATCACAAGTTCATTTCTCTCTTTTTTTCAGCAAAAAAAATCCATAAGGAGTTTCCAGTCACTGATAAATAGAGTTGTTGATCTTCCTCTAATGAAACAAGTTAATTTTGCTATCTCGGCTACTTCTGTTACCTTCCCCCGACAATTCTTCTGTTCTCAGCATTTCAAAATCTTCTCATTTTTGTGCACATCACACTCCCAAAATAGTAATCATATATCAAAATAATCCCCCATGGCTCTTTTCTAATCACCTATCCATTAATCCCAGAAAGAAAAGTTCTGATTTCAGTTGAATGTTGATCTTTAATATCCTTTGTATCATTATGTAGTATATAATTGAACCCCAAAATTGTTGTGGTTTTAAAGTCTACCAAGCATGATAAAAATGACCCTTTCGCGTTGCCCATATTTCCAGCCTAAATCTGAAAGATCCTTATACAATCCAGACAACTTTTACTGGTGTCTTATAGTAACACATATCAATTTATAAAAATTCTAAGTTATAACATAATGCGAGGGTCAATCTTTTTAACGACATACTTTCTCACAATTTCATCACTAGAGTGTGTCCAAAGTTTGTCCGTGTTATCACGCACATTTTCACGACACAACTTTGGTTTCCTGACAGACGGGGGCCTCTCAAATGATCAAATATTTAACTAAGTAATGTGGTCACACTGACATGTTGTCAATTGTGGGAAAAAAAGTCTAGGTTCCGAGCTGAAGATACTATGAGAGAGTTTTGGTGTCTCGGAGAACTGGACAAAATTTTTGCTCTGTCAAGCAAAACAGCATCCTAGCAATCAAAACCATTGGTTGAGGGACAAAAACACTAGAGCGATGATTCTCAACCTGTGGTCCCCGGACACTGGGGTGTGTGTGATGTCTCACAGGGGATCCACAAAGACCTGAAAAAATGTTATGATTTAAATCTTGAGTTAAAACTTGGGGGGGGCATTGTTCCATAGTCACAAAAGGTATTTTAAGGAGGTCACTGATGAAGAAAAGGTTGCATTAGAGTAAATGCAATCTTCTGAATATGCGTTATCATCTGATTTCCCATTGATTCTTAGAATCTGGCATCCTCTGCATATCGAAAACATAGCTTTTGTTTTGTGTGTCTGTATTCATGACTTTTGAAATATGTGTCCATGTTGCAAATCCATGGGCTGTTCATGAGAATGAGAAGAGTTACAGCTGAGAAGCGATAGGCAGGCAAAAGATCGGATGTGCTTCCATTCATCACATTTACCTTGGCCCTTAATCAGCCAGGTTGAAGGAATTGCTGCCAAAGACATTCAATTTGCTCCAAAATAGCTCCGTACTGTGACTGCAAACTTCAGAGTACTAGGCAGGATATCAGAAACAATAACTGGAACCCCCTCACTTCTGTGTTTCAAACTCATTGCTGAGGCTTAAGCCAACAAACTGGACTTTTGAGTACCACAAAGGGCCTGCCTACATGCCTGGGCTGTTTTCAGCACAACCTGCTTCATCCTGGATAAAATGAAACCTGAAATAGCGGGTGGGGAGGAGGGATCCCTTTCAAGAAACTGGGTGGCTTACCAGTTCATGTTGTTCAGAGTTCTGCAGATCTAGCAGAGTGCTGTCCTATTGATGCTCCAGAGCAGCGGTTCTCAACCTATGGGTCGTGACCCCATTTGGGGTCGATCGACCATTTCACAGGGGTCGCCAAGCAAGGCTGTCCGCCATTTTTTCCCCCTTTTCCGGCGGGTGCCTTACCTCCCTTGAGCTGGGCCAGCTGGTGGTCGGCCTGCTCCGTCTCTGCCGCTTGCCAGCTACGCCTCGGCCGGCGCAGGGGGCGGAACTACGCATGCACGGCGCTCCCGGGCAGGGAAAGTCCTCGACTTACGACCGGTTGGGTAGTCCTCGACTTACAACTGGTTTAGTCCTCAACTTACGACCGGTTTAGTCCTCGACTTACGACCAGTTGGGGGTCGCGGCATTAAAAAGGTTGAGAACCACTGCTCCAGAGTTTCCTGAAACCCAGACAACCGAATGAACTTAGCCAGTTTTGGTTTTTGATAAGCAGGGTCATCGTGCCGTGTTAAATACAGCCGTAGAGCTGCAACGTTAATATCTGCTTGGAAGGGCTCTGAAGTCTTTGCCTGTTTCTTCTCCCATCTGGAGAAGACTAATTCGAAAGGGTAATCCTGGAAACACTTAACTCTTCCTTTCTCCTCCTTCTCCCCCTGTTTTTCTCCTGTTCACAGTTTCAAAGGGCGTTTCCATGCGTCAGTCAGGCGACTCACTCCAGGCTGTGACATCTCCTTCCTGCAGTCAGAAGAAGGCAGTGGCCGAGGAGCCGCTCTCATCTCTGCTGTAGCATGCAAAATGGCTTGCATCATTGGCCAATGAGATGGACCATGAAAGGAAGGCACCTCTTTTTTTCTCAGTGATACAGGATATGTTGTTTTGGAGGGCCCAGGAGCAGGACCAGTAGGAGGACATTTTTCCTGGGCAGTTGAATGACCACTGGATGGAACAACGGCTGGATCAACACTGGGCTCCTCCTAACGTCTATTTGTAGAGAATGCAATAATTCTTTCAAACTTCAGCTTCTCCTTTTTCTTCAAATTCTCCTCTAATGCTTGATGAAGGGAGGAGGGGGATGATGGCTTAGGGTTTCACTGAAGAATTGAGGGGGGGGGTTCAATATATGCATTAAAGCAGATTCACAGAGTTCTATGGTGGAGTTGGGTGAACAGGAAGGACATTAATTTGTTGGGGGAAAATTCAACAAAAAGATCTTGGACAATCAGTCAATAAGAAGAGTAACCCAAATACTGTTTCTCCCAGTAAAATGATTATTGGAGCATTGCTTTATAGACTGGATAGCACTGCACTTAGAAGACAATATAGGAAGGCATAGATATCAACAGTGCTTTTTTTGCAAAAAAAAAAAAAAAAGGTGCCGGAACTCACACATGTCATAGAACCCGCCGTGCCTACCCTACAAAGTTCCATCCCAAAAAGGTGCGGGAACTCCGTTCTGGGTGTTCTATGACAAAAAAAAAAAAAAAAGCCCTGGATATCAAGTCTAAAGTGTAGAATCACCCCAAATATATCAGTGGTTTCTTCAGAAAATGTGGTTCTACGGAGATTAAAACAAGAGTCTTTATCAATGTATGGTACCTAGATATGATCTCAATGTTTCTAGAAAATGTTGATGCTGATTTTGTTCCCCAAGTAGCTCTTAATTCTTTCTTAATGGGACTCTGGTTACATATCTCCCCACTTGTTTTCAACCACAACACAAAGATCCCCTGCCATATGAACCTCTTTTTTTCCCACTGGAGTCACGTGGCAATGCCTTCATCTTGTCCCCTAACCCATTTGAGACTGACTTATGTTGTGGTTAGCTGTTAAAAAAAAAAAAAACCCTTTCTCTGACAGATGGCTTGCTTTTTAGACTTGGTCACTCATGTCTTGGAGAGAACCCAGGGGATGGGTCATGACTGGGATCAAAGACATTAGAAGCGATCAAGGGATCAGAAAGGAGAATGGCCAAATTCACACTCCTTATAGTTTTCTGCCAGCTCAAGCGTGGGTGGCACTCAACTGATGAGCAGAGAAAGGCTCTAAGTCAATGTGTCAAATCCGAACTTGAGACACTGTCTCCAGAAATAGCACAACCCAGATGTTTGAAGCTTCATTTGCTTTCATGACATTCCGGATCTAGGTCGAACGTGAATCCAGGAGGCCAGGAGGCCCGAGAACAAACAGATTATTCTCTATACCAACGATGACGCTAGAAGAGTGGGAGAGAGGCAAAGTGGCAGGTTCATTATGCACCCGGCTGAATCAAGGGGTTACATTTTTCCCTAGTGAATATGAATGTGGGCTTAGGTAGGAGTCATTTGTGTCGGGTTTTAGCACCTGGGTTTAATCTATTTGCAATGGAGGTTAATTGGCTTTTCAGTGTGACTGCCCATAAAACATTAGGCCACCACATTGCCTATTTTTAACAAGCATTGAAGGAGACTTGGCAGGGTATGAAAAGTAGATCTTGGAGCCTCACACCCTTATCATTTCCTGATTATTTTTTTTAGCTTTGTATTTTTTTTTTTTTAGCTCCGATTCTATTTTTAGACACTGAGAAAAATAGAAGCGGCAATACTAAAAACCACAGACCCAAGACTGTCAGTTGCCAGCTATGAAAAGGTTTTGCAATTTCCCTACATGCCTGAATTTGGGCTGAGCAGTGATTTGTTGATACCCAGATATTGTAATGAACCCATTAATGTGGATGAGTTGCAGTTGGACAGAAATGCCAGTAAAGACAAGGGTGATATGTGTTGCAATGGCTAAAATTGACGACTGGGTGAATGCTATAAAGATTCTAGTCCAGCTGTACTTGAGATGAAGCAAAGAAAGATTTATGGGTAGAGTAATGAAAAAAGTAGGGGGAGATCCTGGAGCAATTTGTTTGAAACACTGGCTAAGATGAAAAACGTACAGGCCCTTGTCATAAAATCAAAAAGATAAATCAGAAAGATAAATTGATGTCAGAAAGTGACACGCGGACACATCTATTTCCTGGATGTTTAGCAAAGATAGGCTGGAATACAAAATATTTGCACAGTTTAGAAGTATACATAATTCTGCTTTTTTTTTGCCAATCTCTATTTTCCCTATTGAGTTTTTGGTTGCTTGGCTTAGGCACAATAGCTTTGTTATCACTGGCGTAATATTGTTTATTTTCCTGTTTTGTTTTACTACTGAATCCTGGTATTTTTTCATAGTTTGGGGGGGG